GTCGGACACCGGCCCTGGCCCCCACGCTGCTCCTCCTCAGCATCCATTTCCTTTCTGCTGTAGTATACATTGCTTTTTAACTTCTTCCATGATGTTCGTTATTTATTGTCACACTCTTGCTCTCTGGCTAGAATATAGCTCCTGCAGAAATATCATTTTGCCAGCTGATATATCACAAAGGCTTGGCATATAGTAGGTGCCAAATAATATAAATATCTATTTCTAAAATTAACTTCTTATCTCATTACCCTAAGGAGAAGATTGAGGGGTGAGATACTAGTTCTTCTGTGTTGAATTAAAAGTTATTTTTCACTTTGACTTGGTAATTCCACTCTAGGAAATTTATCAAAGGAAAATAATTGAAAAGAAGAAAGTTGGTATGGCTTCCTGTGTCTACTTTGTACCAGGTACTGTTTCCCAGCTTGTGATATTTTAAATGACCAACAGTAGTTCCATACTTAAGTAAATAAGAAAATCACAGTGTAGTGTGAGTACAATTGGTATGACCAATAAAGTCACAAAGATGGCTTCTAACTCATGTGGAAAATAATTAGCCTGAGTATGAAAACTAGAGAAACTTCGACCTCTCCTATGGAGTAAAGACATTTTTATTGATGACTTGGTCCAGGTGACATGGTCCATGCAGGAATAAGAAGGATAAAGATTCATGTCCATAGAGCTCCATAGTTTGGAAAGGCAGGGAGTAAGGAATGTATAAACAAGATAACTTGGGAGAGTTCTGTCTGCTGTGGGAAGAACCCAGGAAGGCAAAGGGCTGTGAGTGCGGTGAGTGGATTCACTGCTTCTTTAAGAGCTGGTTCCTAGGGAAGACCGGCAGTGGTACAGATAGGCCAGTCAGAAGGGGCTGCAGTGCCCGTGTATTTGGATTTTACACTGTGTGGAGAGGAAAGTCATAGTGTGGTTCAACACAAAATGCGTTAGACTTGTATTTGAAGTTTATAGGAGCAGACATCCAACACCAGAGCTTGGAGGAGGAACGGAGGTCATTGTTGGAAGTTTGAACGTAAAACCTGGAGTAGCACAGATGGAAAGGCAAGCATATACTGTAGAGATGTGTAGAATGTTGGGACACACCACAGTTTGTATGACGAGACTGATGGCTGAGAAGGAGATGGATGCGGAATGTTGGGTTTCTGGTTTTTCCTCACTGTGGGAAATAGGGAGAACACATGGTGATGTATCAGTGTGTGTGTGTGTGTGTGTGTGTGTGTGTGTGTAGGGGGTTAGAACCCAGCACCATATACATGCTAATCATATGCTGCACCAGTGCTACAGACATTCTGTAATTTGTGAATGAAATTAATATCAAAGATGTAGAGAAATATATTGGTACTAATCACTATGTCTATTAAATGTTATAGAAAGAGCCTGGAGACTACCAACAAAGTACTTACTTTCTTTTTAAAAAGCTAAAACCATGGAAATTCCTTTTTCTTTCTTTGCTTTTATTGAAAATTCATGCAATATATTCTGATTGTGGTTTCTCCTTTCCCATCTCTTCCCATCTCCTCCCAACCTCCTCACTCATACAACACTACACCTTCTTTTTCTCTCTGTCTTTAGAAAGCAAATAGGAAAACTTAAAAAAAAAAAAGAATAAACATACACACAAAACATAAAAACACAAAATTGGGAATCATAAACCACAGAAACACCATTGAGCCCATTTTGGGCCATCACTGCTGGGCACGGGCCATAAGTATGATTTGCATACCCAGTGAGACTCTGGGCAAAAGCTAATTTCCCTTTGTGAGCAGTTGTCAGTTGGAGATAGAGTCTCGGTAGGGATGGGCGAGCGTCTCCACATCCCCATCTCACACTGGGAACCCATCTGGCTGGAGCCTGTGCAGCCTGCCTTGTGGCCAGTCTCTGCGAGTTCCTGTGGGGGCCAGTCCTGCTGGGTCTGGAGGTGCTGTCTCCCTGGGGTCAGCCACCCCTGCTGGCTCTTAATCTTTCTGCCTCTAAAACCTTAGAAATTCTTACTCATTGTAATAGTGGACTTTTGAGAGAAATAAAAGTGCACCTTGCTGTTTGTTTTGAACTTCTGCGCACCTCTGTGCTTGCTTTCGGAGTTGACTGTAGCCTTTTTAACCCTGTCTTCTAAGGAGTTCTCTTTTTTATTCTGTAGATTTGATGTGGTATGGAAATGTAAGCACTGGCCCTCGATTCTGGTATCAAATTTGATGGAAATCCTGTAATATTTCCTGATATTGTCTCAGGCTGCTGTTAATACTCTTACATGATCACTTCCAGCCGAGTGAGTAGGCGGGCTCTTAACAGTGGCAATAAGCAATCCATGCTTAGATATTGACTATTTTAAGGAATAAAATTAAAATTATTGCTTATTATCAGATATTAAATCCAGCTTTTCTCTCTAGGGCTGAAGAGTTATTTAATGACAAGGGAGGTATGTACTTAGCATTTTTAATATGTATACATAAAGCATTTGCAGCGTCTCTGCCCCCAGAGGAAGCGTGGCTCAAGAAGAGCACTGGACTATGAGTCCTGAAGCCCAGCCTTTGATTCCCTCACCGGTGTGAACTGGCAGCATAATCTTGGAGATTTGTGTTACCCAAGGTGTTAGTCACCTTATTTCTGAAATTAGTAACCCTACTAAAGCTCATTTATTACCCTACTATTAATTCCTTCTCAGGTTGATACGTAGACATTATCTGAAAGCATGCCATCTTTTGTAATTTGATTAGTGAACATGCTCTCTGATGCTGTCATACTTCAGATCTTACTTACCTCTTCAGGTCACACACACACGTTTTGAAGATGTGTAGTGCTTATCTTCAGAGCAGAGTTTGGCCTACTCTGTAAATGTGTTCAGAAAACAATATAACACAGATATCGAAGGCAGCTTGTTTTCAACTTGTAGCTAAACATGACATTCAAATGTTAATTGGATGAATAAATCTTGTTCATTTTACAGACATGGAAATGTCAATGGAATAAAACTATTTATCACAAGATAATGGTCTCCTGCTGCCAGATAAATGCCAAGATGAAGATAGTTATTGAAAATGTATCAAAATATTCCAGTGCTATTTATTGAAAATAAAGGTTGAGGGAAAGTTCAGCTTTTCAGGTCAGACATGAGAAATGCCCTGCTTATTCCATTAGCACATGGCTGCCTTGAAGGCAGTGTGCGTAGTACGGAAACGTGGAGACAGTCGAAGGAAAAACATTTCACAAGTGCATCCCTTACCTTTGAGAATTACTGCGTACAGAGTAGGGGCTGGGAGGTGCCGAGTATTTCCTGAGTGTTTTCTGTGTCCTAACACAGTCCTGGGAAGGGTCTCTCATGTACGCCTCATGAGAACAAAATCCTGAAAGGGTTATTGTACTCCATTTATAGGAAAAGTAACTGAGCCTCAAAAAGCAAAGTCTTACAAAGTAAAGCCACTGAGATACACACAGAGAGCAACTGCCGACCCCACGTCTAAACATGGCCCAAATCCTAAGCCTGGTGTTTCCCCTCGCTTCCTACATTCTTCTTGGACTCTGAGTCTGTACACTACAGTGATATTTAGTTTTTTGAGTAGAGTATTTCCCTGAGTTGTATTGCATTCCTTTGAGCACAGTAATTCAGTATACAGTGTGTTCTCTTCAGGCAAAATCGGACATTTGTCTGAGGAAAAGACCTACCTGCTGTCTTGAGATGGTGACGGCCGTGAATGGCCAGAGTTACACTAGGCTCTAGCATTTTGACACCCTCCTGGCGGTACATCCCTAACATCTTCATGACTCTTTCTTCTTTGGAGTTTAAGCTTAGCCGCCTGCTTTTCCTCTTACCTGTGTGCATTGTAAGTGCCATGGTGGTCTTCATACAATGCTCGAATGGGCACCGAGTTCAAAGAGAGAACCGAAAGTTCCAAGTGACTGAAAGGAGAATTGCTGCTGACTTCAGTGCTCGCTCACCTCTTCAGGCCAGCCTCGGTGCTCCAGCCAGTCATCCCATCCCCACTGACACTGACACTGTGCTAGTGTTGCTGCCCTCTGTCCCCTCCAGCTCTAACCAGGTTTCCTCTGGCAGTAACCTCTATGGAGTATTTTAAGATATTAATATGCTTTTCATGGTTCCCCCAGTAAATGGTAAGCTACTTACTGCAAGAAATTATGTTTTCTTTTCTTTTTGTCTCCTTGATGCCCAGTAGAATGATTTGAACATTATTGTTAATCAATGAGAGAGTGAAAAGGCCTGGGTACAGTTTCTCCAAGGACTGGAGGAATCATGAAGGCTCCATAGCACCCATAGCAGACTTCTGGGCATAATTAGAGCATCCATTTCCTGGACTTCCCTTATGCTTGCATCTGTCATTTCTCTCTGAAACATGTTCACCATTTGTTTATTTTGTAAAAGTCCTAAAGGTAATACTAGATATCTTAGTTGCTGTGTGAATACAAAGATAGATGCTTGGATGTTTAATCTTCCCTCAATAAGAAAATAGTAGTTCACACAGAAATCTGATATGTACACACTGTTAGTGTGTACACCTGTAGAGATTTTTCAGGAAGTCAGACACTCAGTACTGCTGTGGAATAATCCTCTTGTACACTGTAAAGATTTGTCACTCAAATTGGTTTAATAAAAAGCTGATTGGCCAGTAACCAGGCAGGAAGTGTAGGTGAGGTGACCAAACTAAGAATGCTGGGAAGAGGAAGGGAGGAGTCAGGAGTGGCCAGCCAGATGCAGAGAAAGCAAGATGAGAATGTCTTACAGAGAAAAGGTACCAAGCCATGTGGTTAAACATAGATAAGAATTATGGTTTAAGTGTCAGAGTTAGCTAGTAACAAGCCTGAGCTAATGGCCAAGCATTTGTAAGCAATATTAAGCCTCTGAGTCAATTACTTGGGAAGTGGCTGCTGGATATTTGGGAGCTACTGGCAGGACAGAAACTTCTTTTTCGAGCAACATCAAGCACCATCGTGTCTCATGGATCACTAACCCAGCCTTTCATGATGTGCTTTCACAGATGGGAGACCTTTAGCCCTGAAAGATATATGGGAAGGAGTCCACGAATGCTATAAGACGCGACTGCTGCAGGGACCGTGGGACACCATTACCCAGCAGGTCAGAGTCTTTTCCTCTCATTGATGCAGTTCTTTACCTTTGCTCACTTCATCCTCTATTCCCTCACCCACTTCTTTCCCTGTTTCAATCCTCCACATCCTCAGATATTTCAATTCAAAGACAGTTTCTTTTAAAACATCACCCCAGACTCGGGCTTAGTTTATTCTCCTTATTGTAAGCTTCCTAACACCCTATAATTTTCTTTCATGGGGCTTATTATAATTTTGAATTATATATTTGGGTGATTTCCTTTATAAAGCTCCTTTGTAAGCAGACCATATTCTCTTTTTCTGTTTTCCTCTTCATCATAAGTCCAGGACCAGCATAATGTTTAGCATATACTAGGTGCCCAACAAAAGTTTGCTTTGTATGTGAAAATAAAATCTAAGTTGGCACATACATTCAGAAACAGGACCTTCCAGCACCCAAGAGGCAGAGGCAGGAGGATCTCAGTACGTTGGAGACCTGCCAGGGCTAGCTACATAGTAAGAATTTCTCTCAAAAGGGAAGGGGGAAGGGAAGAAAGGGGGAAGAGCAATCTAGCCTGTGAGTGAGCTATCTGGAGAGATGGCTCAGTTGGTAAGTGCCTGCTGTACAAGCATCAGTTCTGTACCCCAGCATTGCAGTGGAGATGGGCAGGTCCTGGAGCTCTGAATCAGTGACTTACACACGCACACATACGTACACACACAGACAGAGACTGAATGCCCAGAAATGTGTACCTTTGACAGAGAAAATGTTTGGTTTGAATTGTCAATGAAGATGACAAAGGATGTAAGAAGATGCAAAATGACATTTAAAATGTATGTATATTTAATTTTCTCGTTCTTAGTCTTTTCTTGGTACAAGATCTCACTGTGTAGCCTGACTGACCTAGAGAAATGGATGCTGTAGCTTTTGTTGTCTGTAATCACTTCTCAGTTTTCCTTGTAGGTGCATTTGCAAAAGAAAATGTGAACTCCTGATTAGAAATAGGTTTGCAATATGCAAAAGATGAAAATAGATCTACAAAAGGAGATATAAAAAGGAAATTGGCAAAAAGTATAGAGAACGGTTTGTCAATCACGCCATCATTGCTGTCTTACTAAAACGGTACTTAATTATTTTAGAGATTTAAGAATACTCATCACTTTGCAAACATCCAACACCATCATCTTTAAAATAGTTTTACTTACATAAAAATATTTCTCTAAGTCTCTGTTTAGCTTAAGAAAAGCTTCCTTTAAAGATGGGTTTATCAGTCATTAGCCTGTGCCCTCATGTGGCTTTGATCATAATTATGGAAGTTTACGTACCTATCAACATAGGTAGTTCTTTGGCGTGGCTGCAAGTGACCGTTTTCTGGGTTTTTAACCTAGAAAGGAACAAACTAGTACTAGGCGCCTTTCACACTGTCCTCAGATCACCGCCCTGAGACTAAACGCTGACCCCGCCCCGTCATGAGTGAAGTCTGGCGTCCCTAGCTCTGGGCCGTTCTGTTAGTCATGCCTTCTCAAGCACCGCTCGCTCATCTTGTCCTCTTCAACCCTGCACGTGCTCACAGGGCACCATCTAAATGCCTCACCTGCCTTCAGTGGCTGCCACCGCCGATGCCCACCTGCTTCCTAACTTCATCTTTTATTCCACGCTGTGCAGCTCTTACAAAACATGGCTATTGATTTCTCTATACCCATCTTATGTCACTTTCTTTGAAACTCTAGGTTTAATGCCTTCTTCCTTCTGCCTGGGTATTTCCTACCCACTCTTCCACTGACTCCTTTCTCTCAAACTACACCAGTTCCCTCTGCAATCCAGGCTCTGTAGACTGGGTATATGTGTGTGTGTGTGTGTGTGTGTGTGTGTGTGTGTGTGTGTGTGTGTGTGTGGTTACTGTGAGTGCAGTAATTTGATGAATAAGCAAGACAACTACATTGAGACTCTCGAGATGGCTCCATGTGTAAAAGTGACTGTGGTACAAGCCTGGCAGTCTGTAAGCAGAGAGTCAGCTCCACAGAGTTGTCTGCTGATCACCACATGCGTATCATGGTGTGTGCGTCTGGGCTCACACACAAATAATAACACAGATTTAAAAATAACCACCTAGGTTTTGAACAAGACCATCTTGTTTAGAGGAAACTGAATTGTATTAATTTTTAAGTATGTCCAAGTGAATGCTGTTTCAACTTTCAGTATTGTCAATGGCCACACACTGCTAGAAATGTAGACCATTGGTCAGAATCCACAGGACAGAAAATGCTTGTTTTTAAGTGTCAAGGAAGATGGCAAAGATATAGGAGGATCATATGCAAAATGTGTATGTCTTTAATTAAAGCATTCTTTGTGTGTGTGTGTGTGTGTGTGTGTGTGTGTGTGTGTGTGTGTGTGTGTGTATGGTCTCACTCTAGCCCTGGCTGACCTGGAAGTCACTATGTAGACCAGCCTCTGCCTCCTGAGTGCTGGGGTTAAAGGTATGCACCACCATTCCAATTTTAACTACTTAGCTCCTTTTTAAAAAAAGAAATTATTTATTTCATTACTTTACCTCTTGACCCCAGTTACCTCCCTCCTCTCCTCCCAGTCCCCCCCCGCCCCCATCCTTTCACTCCCCCTCCACTTATGTTCAGAAAGGGCAGGCCTCGCATTAATATCAACAGCACATGGCCTGTCAAGTTGCAGTAAGACTAAGCACCTCCCCGTGTACTGAGACCTGGCAAGGCCACCCAGTATGAGGAGCCGGGCCCCCAAAGGCCAGTAAAAGAGTCGGAGGCGGTCCCCGTTCCCACTGTTGGGAGTCCCACAAGAGACCAAGCTGCACAGCGGTGACACAGATGCAGAGGACCCAGGACAGCCCCAGGCAGGCTGCTGGGGGTCTCTGAGAGCCCTGTGTTCTTAGCTCTTCCCTGGTTATGCTCCCAATCCTCTTCCTCATTGATGGCCCTGTTATTAGTGTCAGTGTCAACCTATTCACAGTCCCTGGTACATTGTATAATTTTGTGTTTTAATTCCACACATCTCTGTTAGAGCTCGTGACATAGGAATAGAATTGTTAATTCAAGCGCATTTTCTTTGTTTCCTAACCCAGTGTTACTGATAGAGTCCTTTCCACTAATGGACTATCCAAGATGTTTACACCGCCAAATGAACCAGTCTGCACTCTCTTTAGGAACTGTCTCGTGTGTTTTAGTTTATAGACGTTTGGATGCCCCACTTCCCCATTTGTCCTAGTGCTGTCCTGTTACACATCTGCTCACAGTAAGCACTGTTTTTTCTAACATGGGCCTCACTTCACAGAGTGTGTGCCCAACTATGCAATGTAGGTGGACTTTTGGGATTTCTTTTATGGGGATTTTGACTGAGGTAGTTTAAATAACTTCTCCTGATAACACTCCTAGTAAAATCTTCATTTAAGCTTTGGAGTCACTTAACAAAGTAACTGCCCAAGCAGTCAAGACTGAACAAGAAAAACGTATTTGCAGCCACAGACACTGTTTGGCATTTGAAAGTCATTATATATATTTATATATTTATATGTATGTATGTATATATGTATGTATGTATGTATATATGTATGTATTTCCTTTGAAGATCTTGGTTCTTAACCCCAATCGACTAACAGGTTTAACTTTTCCTCTGCTTGAGCTCTTTGGGAGAGTAGATGTGCATTTTTATAAGAGTTCATGCAGGGGAGAAAAAACAAGGTGTCCGAAATGGGACAGAGTGGAAGGGTGTGTTACAACCCGAGAGGAGAATAAGCTGATAGAATATTGGTGCCACCAAATAGTAGACACATTGCAGAATTATACTAAAGAATCATTAGCTTGCAGACTGAACACTGTAATAATATCCTGTCCCCCAGAGCACCTTAAAAACAAAAGCAGCCTCTGCATACTATAAAATGCATTTCACTTCATTTCCGGCCTGATTGTGCTCATAGAGTTTGCTCCTCTTCATCCTCAGTAATCACACTTCTGTTCTCGCAGCGTTTGTCTTGATGATAAGGGTTGTTCATGTCAGCCATGAACCCTCTCCTTTGAAGACAAGCCACTCATGAATCTCATACATCTGATTATGGTGATTACTCACCTGCCTTTGTCCAGCCTTTCAGACTAGCTATTATCTCAACTCTGCAGCCTAATAAAAACTTCCTAAGGAAACTTAACCAGCACCTAGCTGGGATCTGGCTAAATTGCTAAAGTGAATGTTATAGTGACCGTCACTGAAGGTGTGGGCTCTGTGTTTTAGGGCAGAGAGGTCCTGTGATCTTAGCGTGGACTAAGGTCACAAGATTTTAAGGAAAAAAACAGACCTTCAAATTTTGCTTAAAGATATTTATGTGTGGAAGTATATATGATCAATATGTAGGTTAGGCTTTTCTTTCTTAACTCCTTATTTCTTTCTTATTTCCCTGTGTTTTAGGAAATTTCAAACCTATTCAAAAGTATAGATGATAGTATGTACAATTATAAGCTTGTACTGATCTTGTTTATTCATTGTTAAACCTAGGCTTCCTCCTGTGATAATCAGATGTCCTGACCACATAGCTATACCCCAGCCTCAGACTGTCTTGTTTATCCATAGTTTTTGGTATCTTACCACTTTGGAATTTTTGGACACAAATCTTAGACATTTTATCTCATCCATAAATATTGAGGATGCATCTTTAAAAGTAAGGGCTTTCCATAAGTATTTATAGCAGTGTTACTTATATTAGCTCCTCAAGTGGGAACAAGACAGGTGCCTTTCAGTGGTGAATGTTTAAACAGATTGTGGTGTACTCTTACCCTGGAAAGCTAGTCAGCAATCAAAAGGATCCAGCTAATGACACACTCAACAGCCTGGATGAGTCACTGCACAATTAAGCCCAGTGCAAAAAGACAGCCTCCGAAGTTTGCATACCACATGATTCCACTTCCATAACACGTTTTTCTTTTTTACATTCATTTTTTTTCAAATTTTATTTATTCTTTCATAATTTCATGTACTCACATTGTGTGTGTGTGTGTGTGTGTGTGTGTGTGTGT